GATTGAAATATGTAAGCGTGCCTAGTGTCTGACTTGGTTTGCTTGGGGACAAGCAACGGTTAAGTGTGGGGGAGTTTGATAGGACCGTCATTTAACACATGTTTTTACCCTCATACTTACACCGTTTGAGGTGTTGATTCTCGTGTTTTAGGCCGATTTCACGCTAGGTTGTGCTTGTTTGTGTTATTTCAGGTCCTAGTACGTGAATGAAGGCTTAGGAGCGAGGTCTGGGGTCGATTGGACGAAGAACGGACGAAGGGGCGAGCTTTTGGGAGTGCTACGGGCAGACCAGGAGGCTGCACGGCCGTGCACTTGAGCCATTTGGCCGTGCGCCTCACGCCGAGGCCATGCACGGGCAGGCCCTGAAGCTTGCACGGCCGTGCGCCTGGCCGTGCAAGATGGGCGAAGACACAATAATTGATACGGTGCGTTTCATGGTGCACGGCCAGAATGGTGTTGTGCACGGCCGTGCACCTGGCCGTGCAACTTCGGGAAAACCGGTTTTAAGCCTATTCGAGGCCAAAAGTGAGAGGAATCGCGTTTCAGAGCAAAAACAGAGCCCTAGAGAGAGAAAGTGCGAAGAAACTCATCCTAGAAGCTGTCTTAGAGCTGGATTTCATCGAATCGAGCTTGGAGATCGTCATAGGAGTGGAAATCATCGTCCCGGAGCAGATTATCCTCAGCGTTATGAGTATGACTAAATACGATTCTTGTTTTCTCTTCTCTCTCTATGGAGTAGAACCCTTCTCTCACTTGGGTATGAAGAACCCTAGTTCCTTGTGTTAGGGATTTGATTGTAATGACTTGGGATGATATTACTGTTTGATTTTAATCGAATGATGCATGTTATTGAATTGATTTGAGTCTGATTCAGCTTTTCTCAATTTCTGCTGCAACCTGAGATAGATAGAATCTGATTAGGTTGTTAGAGCCTCTTCATTCGATAGTAGGAGATTGGCTATACGAGAGTTAGCCAGTTTACTGCTTTGTACTGGTGTTCTTGGCGCCAGTAGTGGAGTTCTGTGTTCATAGCCTCAGCTTTCTATCCCGGTGAGGACTAGTCGTCTGCCGGGTAGTTAGACTGAGAGGGCTTGGTCAGCTTAAGAGATTCCAAGCTACTGTCGGATCTTCCGCAGTCTAATCAAAGTAAATCAACCCAGGGAATTGCAATTGAACCTAACTAAAGGGGCTAGGGGGACTCAATCCCGAGTGACTCTTGCCTGCTTTAGAAACCCGAACAATTTACTGCTTTCTTGTTGCTTTTACTTTTCACAACAATCACTCGAACTAGTTTGCTAGATAATAGAGAATCACGGAGTAAGCAGTAGATCTAGACCCCGGGTTGATAATTAAACTTGCCTATACTGCAGTCCCTTTCATTGGTTACACTTGGCCATTGTTAGGTGTTGTGTTTTAGCGTGTCAAAGAACCCCCTAGTCATCGTCTTCTGTGTCTTCCTCCTCGCCGGCTGACGACCTCCCCTTTTTCTTCCTTCGTCTCCCTCCACGATCAAACGTCCTCTTTCCTTCCTTTGTTCCTCAATCACCTCTCGCCGCCGCCGATACCTCTGCCTCCTGAAGGATTGTCGCCGTCGGTGAGGCTACTTCTCCCTTCCTCTCAAAAAATACAATCAGAAAACAAATTAAACTCGAACCCCAGCAAAATCGAACCTTAAAATCAACATGCAAACCCATAAAACACCTACCTCTGACCTTCTTCGCCTCCGGTATCATCATCGCGTCGATCGATTTCTTCCCTTCGCTGCCGTAGTCGCCATTCCACTCTTTCTTTCCCTCGTCGTTCATAGAAAGAAGAAAATTTAGAAATGCAGGTCGTTTCCGGGTGGTACTGGTGGGTAACGGCGATGCAAGGACGACGAGAGTTAGAGGAAAAGGATCGAATTGAAGGAGCGAGCGATCAGGTTTGTTTTCTCTGAGTCGTTTTCGTGGCAGAGACAGAGGGAAGAGGAGAGAACTAGGGATGGCAATCAAACCATGGCCGTAGGTACCCGACCGCCACCGACCCAGTCAACGCGGGGAATCCCCGCTTTGACCGGTATGGGGCGGTATGGTTTTGACCTTTCCTGCCTCATACCCATACCCATACCCGCCCCACCAAGAGAATTTCTTCACATATAAAAAAATGTGGAATAAATTGTAATCTATCAATGGTATGAGGATAACTCGAGTAAATAAATAGTAGAAATGCAATTGAGTGACCACTTTAATCAAAATCTAATTCATTTCCCTCAATTCTCCTTTCACTCTTTCATTTTCCCCCTTGTCAACCAAATTATGTTAGTTAATTATTACTTAGTAGATGTATCAGAGTTAGAAGATAATAATTTGAAAAATACTATACTCTATACTATGTATTAATGGATTTTTAGAATCATATATTTTGAACCGTATTAAGACAATGACCGTGTTTTGTTGACTTCATGATATAATTCGTTTAAAGTTATAATTAAAACTTTTCTTGTAAGTTTTAGGTATAATAATCTTAGATGTACGGGTACTGATATTACCCATGGATACCCGAAACCCACGGGTATGGGGATGGGTTTGTAAAACATTCCCCCGCATGGGTATGGGGCGGGTATGGGTTTGGAGATTTGAAGATGGGGATGGGGATGGTTTAGACAACCCGCCCCATTGCCATCCCTAGAGAGAATGAGAAGAAGGAGAGAAGAGAGGGTTGGGGGCGGCTAAGTTAGGGTTTCTTTCCAGCCTTTGAGGGGTTTATAAACCCTCCTTTGTCAAATGACTAAACTGCCCTCCATCTTCGTTATTACACCACTGCCACCTTCCTCGCCTAAAAACGACAAGTCCCAAAACGATCCAAAATTTTGGTCCCAGGAAGATTCGAAAAACTGATCCGTTTGTTGTAGCAAATTCTGATTGACACTCTAAACCACAAGACGGTAACCCCAATAAAATCATTAATATCTTACCTCCTAAGAATTATTAATCTCATTTGTTTAAATATATTCAGTATAGGTGATGTTCCCCAAATTTTCTTAATACGAAATGTCAACGGTTAGTAGATCATGACAGCATTCTCATATTAAGTTTATTCGAAATTCATCGAACTTTCAATTAGAATTCCAAAGCATTAAACTTTGCTTCACTCTTTTAAATTATCCAACATCAAATCTTAATCACATGTCAATAGAACGTGTTAAGGTCGCGCCTTTTCAAAACCATCTCATAAACCGAACTACGTGGACTTTGATCCCGACTACTCGGGTACGTAGGCAACCATAGGTTTCAAGTCCAACTAACAAATTTTCTCGGCATTTCCATGTGTGAGACTCAACATTTAAAATATTTCGATTAAAATGAACTACGTGGACTTTGATCCCGACTAAGTCGGGTACGTAGGCAACCAATAGGTTCGAGTCCAACCAATCTAAAAAATATTTTTACGTCAATAGACGTGAAAATTATCAAGTAACTACAACAATTTAAAATTTACGTCCAACTGGACTCTAAAAAATACACCAGAATAATTAAAAATAATTCAATTTTATGATTAAATACACAATCAAAGCGCAAATATAAAACACCCAACCTTTTAAAACTTATCGGTTTAAGTAGTACCCATTTGGGGCGTTGTGGGTGTGAATACACTTCCACACAAGTAATCGTACTCCCGAACCCAAATTTCTAAAAATTTCGCAGACCAAATCCCGGTTCTAACCTTAAGGTTTGAACCGAAAAAAAGTGTTTGATCCACCACATTTACGATCGATGGCGACTCCGAGCAAATCGCGAGCGGACCCCGATACGAAGGTGCGGTTGCGACAATTTCTTATAATGAAGCATTGGACTAGTGTATTCCTGGAGTGAATATTTCTATCGGCACCATAAATTAAAATGCGTTTGGCGCGTAAATCCCATGTATCGATTTCCTATATTTAAACATGAAAATCAATTTAATAAATAATAATTGACAGTCATAATTTATTGAAATACCGTAAATATATCCAACTGCCATCACTTGAAATATGGAAGTGTACTCCCATCTCCAAGAGTACCTTTATTATAATTGATGAACATCTGAGTAGTTGGTTGTTTCTTAATGGACTAGACCTACCCTCCAAATTTTCTATTTTCTCCCCTTTTTAGTTTTTATCACTTGCACATTTTAAGACTGGTACCCATTGGGCTGGCTGTAAACACTAGTCATCTCCCCATCTAAATGGGCCAATGAATTCATTTTCGCTTTTTTCGTAGAAAGACAATGCATGTGAGAGCCAGGTTTGTACCTCTCCACAAGATCTTGCTCCCTCTGGAAGGGACCCAAAATATCAGCTATATACCTCACTGTTCTGTAATAATGTCTGAAGGAAGTAATGTAACCCTCTTGTTTCCCAAGAATGTCATAGAGGGTTATTTTCATATGTTTCCACCCATACATGGAATGACAATAACCTTCCAAAGTTTGAACTCTAAAGACATCACAGGGTGAATAGAGCCAATGTTTCTTTTCGTGAAGGGAGTACTTGTTTGTATTAGTCTATGTTATAAGAGTATCCTCTTTCAGTATGTTCTTCCTTTTCTGTGAGTCTTAACCTAACTGGGGCTGATGATGCCAAATGCAAAATGACCTCCCATTTGTAACCACTGATTAATGATCATCTAAATCTAGGTGTTGAATGGAGATCATACGGGGTGTTGCTTGTCAGTTTTCGCTTACTACGTATATGCTCCATCACCCAGGTAGCATCAAGAGGATCTCTAGAATTGCAAATAAGACTTGCAATGTGCAAACATATGAAACTCGTAGTCAAGCTAATTTTGTTTGCTTCATAGAATGTACAGTCAATCATTGTAGTCAAGATGGAATCTCATGAGGAAATTCAATCTCACGTTTTGAAGTCTAAATAGATTGTGAAGTTCTTCACTTTCAAATACAGAGATCATATGATTCATTGCAGAAACCAAAAACACTTTATGCAGGAATACAAATAGGTTCATCCCTTTTTGCAATTTTTCTCAGGTTACTGCCTTCCCCTGCTGTTTGCTCTTGCCAAGCTCCACAAGCATGGTCAATAGAGCCTCGCACATTTGGAAGGAATCAGGGTTGTTAGGATCCTTCTTCTTCGAAGAGTAAACCATCCAGCCATGGTCAAGCTCCTGTCCGGTCTAACCACAACAGAACCCGGAACTTCAGCATCACGGCAAGTTACCAATCCATCGCTCTTCTCTCTATACCGGAGCTGCAAATGAAGTGCGCACAATGCCATTTCCCCAGATATCGGCATCACCACTCACATTTTTGTAAGGTCTTCCAATGCTCGTATGTCACCCTAAACAAAAGAAAAAGGAACCCCTTTTAGTTAGGGCGAGCAATCATTTGAAAAGTTCAATTTGAACAAGTGTGTTTCAACTTTGGACCCAACTATTTATAGATGCTGAGTTAAAACAAACCCCCCTAGGACTGGATAGCACAAAAAGCAAAATAAAACCCATTTCATGTGGCCTCCTTGACAATAGCAAAAGAAACTCCCCTTGATCAACTTGCATATCAGGAATTTCATGATCCTCCTCGTTGCTCGTTTAGCAACCTGACCCTCGCGAAGGATTTCCGAGGCAATTGGTGTCCCACCATAGGGGCTCTACACGAATGCAAGTCTAGCAACTTTGTCTTTCAAGTCTGACCAATAGATTGACAATGCAGGAGCAGCATCCACTCCACCTTTGTTATGGCCCAGTAGCATCACACGCTTCCCTGAACCCCAGTACAACTCATCGATGTACTGCTTCAGTTCCAATGCATTGTGCTCCACTGACGCCTTAATATAAAGAGGGAGATGTTAAGATTGGATGGTTTAGAAACTCTCCTAGATGTTAAGGGGGAGAGTTATATACCTCGCTATGAATTTTGGCAACATGACAAGCAAAACCCATCTTAGAAAAGAACCGCTTGGTGGACACAAAATACAGGGGACCATGGTTGCTAAAAAGTTATGACAAAGAACAAAGTTCGAGCTCGGTAAAAAAACTCTCATTTGTTGCCTTGAAGTGAAAGCGTGTGAATAAGAGATATCTATTAATACCTAGTATTAATGGATATACGAAGGAATCATGAAGCACATGCTCTTCATTCCTGAAGGATGAAACAAAACAGGTGAGAGAACTTTATTCATGAAGAAAACCACAAATAGAGAACCAAGAAGTGAACTACGAGTAGAAGCAAACACTTAAACAACAAAGCGAATTGTCAAGAACAAGATGCACTGATCAACATGGAAACTTGCTGCAAAAGTGCAAATTTATTCACAACTCATAACAAAAAGAATGATTTTCCCCTAACATGGCACACTTAGAGTTAAATGGAAAAAGGTTAAAAAACAATGACATCATTGAGAGAAAGGATAAGTATCGCAGCTAGCAAGAGATAGAGATCAAGAAACTTTCATAAGTGAAATGTTGACATAACTAAAGGCGTATCTTATATTCTCCAGAAGTTCTAAGAACCTAGGAGTACCATCACTAACTGGATGCATTCCAGGTGTATTTTGCAACCACCCAATATCATCACTCGAACCATGCAACTTTTTGTACACTCGCGATGCTACACTGAGGGTGGAGAAATAGTAATGAGAATAAGCAAAAAATGATACAATTCAAAATTAAAATCAATATTATTCTTTTTTACCTAAGTACTTGACGTTGGGTGCGTATGATACAATAATAAAAGCATCTCAAGGTGGGAATTGCCAACTGCCAGGAAAGTCTAAAACCAAATAATGGGATCATCAACCTACACCAAGGTGAAATAAATGCGTTAAAATGAGTTGTCAACATATAAAGACATTATGTTAGCAGCACAAACACTTTCATTTATCCTCCACAGTTTGTGATAGTCTGACCTCAACCCTCCTTGAGGAATAAAAAGAATAATTATGAAAGCCTTAAAACAGGAGAGCGGATCCCATGACTAAGGGGATCCTTAGTCACTTGACTAAGCCCCTCCTAGCCATTAGATCTGGACACTTCAATCCAATGGTTAAAAAGTGGGAAGGGCTATTTAATTAATGACAGGGGTAGTTTGGGTATTATGGAAAATTACGAAGTATACAAACTGGATTTACAATCAGTACAAACCATACAAACATACGAACAGTACAAACTAGAGCGACAAAACATACAAACAGATTTACAAACATTACAAACGTATGAACTGTACAAACAATACAAACTAGACCGACAAACAATACAAACCATACAAAAATAAAAAACAACCAGGTTGACTTTGGAGCCTCTATCCCTATATAGAGGGGCTCCTTCTCAAAGTCAACCCGGGTGTTTTTTAGACATACAAACATGGTGGACAAAAATGACAAACTAGACCAAAAATTCGTACAAACTGGTAAAACACCCGGGTTAACTTTGGAGGCTTCATGCCTATATAGAGGGCTCCGTCTCAAAGTCAACCCGATTGTTACTTAGACATAAAAATATTACGAACATGGTGGACAAAAATGACAAACTAGACCGACAATCCATACAAACTGGAAAAAAACACCCGAGTTGACTTTGGAGGCTTCATCCCTATATAGAGGAGTTTCATCCAAAAGTCAACCAAGTTGTTTTTAGACATAAAAAACATTACAAACATGGTTGACAAAAATGATAAACATGGTGCACAAAAATAACAAAGTTTACAAACATTACAAAAAAACCGACAAACATTACAAAATAACAAAAGCGTACAAACATTACAAAATAACCCGACCATACTAACCGTACAAAATGTCACTAAAAATGACAAACAATACAAACTGAATCTATACAAACATTACAAAATAGGTCAGCAAACATCACAAATCCAACACTGACGCCGGGAAATCCTTCTCCGTCGTCGCTGGTCGCCGGAAAAGTTTCCTCCGGTCGCCGGATAACTCTCTCTCTCTCTCTCTCTCTGTGTCGCTTCACAAAACCAAAATGGTGGGGGGCCGCCCAAAACCAAAATGGTGGGGGGATGAAAATCCTTCACGCCGCCGGTGAATCCAAAAAGGGACGGCGGCCGGAAATCAAACAGCAGCCGACGAACTCTCTCTCTCGCTGGGAGAATTTCCTGGGCAAAAAATACCCAGGCCGTTGGAAAAGAAAACGGATCGGCGGCTGTATATTTATTTATTTATTTTAATTGATAAATAAAAATTAAATAATCAAATTACTATATTGTCCTTCATTAAATTGGATTAATAAGGACCATTGGATTTTAATGAGGTGCAAGGGATGGGATTCACTTAGTCACATGACTAAGGGACCCCCTTTAGTCACCTGATCTTAGCTTTAAAACAGCCAATCAAAGCATGACAACTTATCAACTCAATGAGAATTAACAAGAGAACTGTATAAGAAAGAAGAATATTCATAAAACTGTTGGATAGAACTACTTAGATTCTCGGGATCAAAACAAGAGATCAATAAGAGGCATGTCAGATAGAAAACTAAACAAGTGTCAGAATTAGGCTATGGAAACCAACTTCAGTTATAAAAAATGTTACAATACCCATTAACAACGAGAAAGTGTGTTGATGATAGTAACTTGTATCTACAACATCATATCTTGTATATACATGCAATCCTTCCCTGGCTTGCAAAGTTCCTCTCCCGCACAACGCTCCAGTGCATTTATCAGCCATACAGTAGTTATAAAATGACGAGGAACAACCTCACACGTGAGACTTACGGATGTCGGGGCTTGGAAAACTTGAATCTTGTCCAGGGTCACTAGTGAATAAATTTTCATAGAATTCAGCAACAATATCTCAGAGTATGAGACTCTCTGCCAGATGATTATGAGTCATATCAAAATCTGAAAGAATATTGGGAAGATGGCGAATGACAACATATTTCCATAACCATTGATGAAATTCCACCCAGACAAGATCAAATTCAAGTACTCACCAATAAAACAAATCAATCTATGACTTATGTAACTACTGAATCTTAGAAGGCTGGTGAAAATATAGTCTACTGAGGAGTGTGGCCCAAAGGAATCACTATGAAAACTACTCTTATCCTATGCATCATGGCAATCCTAACAAGAGGAAGCAAAAACACATTAGAGCTAAACAAAACATGCCTTCACATCGAGCCCGCTGAAATATGGCTAAACAGTGTGAGTTGGTCCTGTATCCTCAACTTTAAAGTCCTCAATTTCAAGGAAACTGGATGGACGATATAGCTATACTATTATCAGGTCCTTGTTGTATCAACAATCTGAAGATTGTGCTTACATACAGGACTTCAAGCAATAGCATGAATCGTGAACATGCGCACACTAAAGTGAGTATAGGGTAGTTAGAAAAATCCCCCAACCGAAGTTCTAATCAGACGACCAACATTCAATAATCAGAACCCATGATCATTTCAAAGAAACAAAAGACATAATCATGCACAGAGCAGAGCAGAGATGAACACGGATGCTTTATAGACAAAACATTATGTTTGCAAAATATTTGGACTAATTTCTAACCACATGTTCACTTCGGAATTCATGCCCTGGTTGTGGCTGATAGTCCTGATGCACATCCTGCGGTGAAACCAACAGAAAGGTGAACCAAATGCTAGTTACTAGCTAGAAGTATAAAGGAAAAATAGTTCAGTTTGATGAAAAATTAACCACTTACAATAGAAAGGTTTTCTACTATATCTTCTTGAATTTCAGTTGTTTTTACTTCTTCTCCATCAACATATAAATCTCCCACAATATCTTTCTGATCCTGAGATAAATAACACAACATCTACCTTAAGAATAAGAAATTTTCAGCATACACATTTAGACACAATGTTGCAACATTCATATCATTCCTATTTGCACTTCTTTCCAATGTGTACCACAGACATTATGGACATTAAAAGAAGGTGTCTTTTTAAGATAAACTTCAAACACCAATGAAGATTGAAGAATGGCCAATCGACTATCCATTGAGAGTTCATGAATTGATTACTTCTCGGACTGCTCCCCCGATGGGGAGGAACATAAATGACTTACACCAATCAAAGCGAAAGAATTTTGTTAAATTTTGGCAAAACAGAGCATAGAGAAATCAAAGTGAAACGAAAGCCATCACAAATGAAATTGCATAGAGAAATCACCGAAAGTAAACTGGGTCTGGCTTACTGACAAGAACCCAAAAATAGGAGAGCTGTGTTTGACTCACAGAGATTATGGAAGAGCAGAATGGAAGCCGAGCATTAACAAGTACAGATCCAAATATGCAGAAAC